TAAAGTCTGCTTAAGGCTGTAACGTCCTACATGGCTAATCACACCAGCCTACTTCTAAAGTGTTTTCCTCCTTTTAAGTTGTGTCCATAATAGAAAAAAATTGAGCCCCAAACTCTTATCCCTTCTAATAGTGGTTCACTGAAACTAAAGGAGAAACCATGTTTATTCACAAGGCATAGGAAATCTGTCTTTGTGATTACACAGTAGGACTTGCCTTGTAGGAGGTATAAGAACAGCTATAGTACCTATTTTCTGGCCTTTATGCTATTTTTCTGCCCCTCAGGCTTGGTGTTGCAGGATTAAGACCAAACCCTCCTATTCACTATAGAGAATGGTATGACAGGCATAAAAAACTTTGCAAAAGTGTTGATTTAGTTGTTGTTAAAAATGCTCTATGTTCATGAAGCATCTTGAAGATTCAGTGTTTTGAAGCATTCAGTTCATCTGTTAGAGCCTTCAAGCAGGCAGCATAATGCTGTGCATCTCTCTTGATGCTCTTAAACTGCTGACTATGGGTTGTGTCAGCCACTCCAGCCATACAGTAATAGAGATTATTCAGCTCTAGTTATGTGGAATGTGTTGCTGAATACGGGTTCAGTCTCTTCCCTACAATACATGGCTTTGCTGCGTTGGCACCTTTTGAGTTAATCATTCTCTCTCAGTGGAGGGCTTTGATGGCCTCTTGCAGTGTGGCTGATTTTCACTTCTTTGAGACAATCTGGTGCTGTTTGGTCTTCCACTCTCACGTGACTCATCCAGCTGCCAGTAACTGCGTTCCATTTCTCAGTGTTGTCGTGGTAAATTTTGGACATCACATCCAAACAAAACCAAGAATGGCAACTTTTTTTTATATATCTAAAATGAAGTAATTAAAGAGAATGAAATAGTAAGTGAAAAAAAAAGGCAAATGACCTAGTTTGGTCTTCGCCACAAAACCCACAACGCTCTGGGGATATCGAAGTATGTTAGGCAAATACTTCAAATCTATCTCTATTTTGAATGTGAGTCACTTCAGTTATACATCATTTCAGTTATTTGTTCATTGGCCTTAATGAGGTAAACTCCAAAGCACTGCAACATGTGTTTACTGTTTAATAATTGCCCTTTTGGTAAGTTCTTGCTGTTATCTTCTTAGCCTTAATAGCTAATTTTATCAGTAAGAGTGAAGCCTTCCTGAATGGTAAACAAGATGTTCCCCAGGGAAGAAAGAGAGCTGGTGCCCTTTAGTAGGGTTGTTTTAAATGCTGATCTCGTTGTCACACAGACAGGTTTCCCTTTGTGTGGGGAGATGTTCTGTTTTCCTCTAGGAGAATTCACCCCCAGCAAGAAACACAGGGCTGACTCTGCAGATCCTGACCAGTGTAAGGTGTCTAGCCTCATCACAGTCAATGGGACCAATACTCAACATGTCTTAATCTGGCATAAATCAAGAAAAATCTCCCCCAAAGTCATTTGCCCCAGAATGAAAGAAGCAAGATATCCAAAACTTAACCAAGGTGATTACTCATATGGAAGGAATTGCCTGATTGCAGCCTTTGCACACTACTGTATCAACTCTTCTGTTCCCTTCATGAGCATTTAAATGTAAAGATATAAATCAAAACTGCAGGACAGAAAAAGAGAAAAACAAAAGTTACCTTGATGGATTCCACTTCCATGAGATCCTTCTGGAAACAATTCTGCTTTTATTAGATTTACTCTGTGTAAATTAGGATTAGTTTTTTATATGGATTTATGAAATAGCTATGGTTCTACTGAAAGCGGGGTGAACCCTCAGGTATAAGGCAAGGAGCATGTGCTCTTTTCATCTCTTATTGGTAAGTTACAGTATGTAAGTTAAAGGCCCCTCGATACCACTGAAAGAAGAGATCTAGTTCCAGACATGGAAAATGTTTAAATCTTGTGTATGCCAGCCAGTGATATTAATATTGTATAAAACAGCTAGTTGTCAAGGGGCCAGATTCTGTTCTCAGTTACACTGGTGTAAACCAGACTATTTTCCTTCTTTTCAGAGACAATGAATTTGCTTTCACGTGTACTTGAGCAGCTGAACGTGGACTCTGGTTGTCTGTGTTCAGAGGCAATCTCGGTTCTTGTTTTAGTTGCTGAGGGGCTGGTGGTGTTCCTTGTCTGTCACTGTTCCAAATCCCATGTGGTGGGCACATTTCAGAGGGCTCTGATGCAAGTGTGACTTCACTCAAGGCACTGTTGTGCAAGGAACTTCCAGTCTGGTTAATAACTCCGAAAGGTGCTTTGTGAAGGCAAATGTACAGTGGATTGGCTGAAAGTCATAATTTCATGGATATGGCATGAGTGTTCTGTTCCTTTGCAGGGGGAAAATGTATTTTCTGATTTGACAGCTAGAAGAGAAGGTAATAATTTCTGACAGCACAGGGATAATGTTCGTGTTATTTTAGGAAATCTCCATTCTCACACAAATAGGTATTGGTGTGTGCTGCAGTTGGTGTTGCTGAACTTTGGTAGAAGCTCCAAGTTTCTGTGTTTTAATAATATGATGAAATTGATAAAATGCATATCTAGAGAGCTCTAATGAATTTCAGATTTGTATCATTTGGGGAATGAAAGAAAGAAAGAAAGTGGTTTTATTATGATTCCAGTATAAATCTTAAGCATTTAAAAAGAGTCTGCAGTATTTTGGAGGGAGGATACATCTTGAATATATTCCAGGTAACACTGCTGATGGAAAAAGAGAGGAACTGTGAACTGGGTATTTTAAGTATGACTGATCTACCAACTTCTCTTAGTGTAGTGTATGCACTTTAAAAGTGTATAGAACTTATTTCACCAGTGTTCAACAGTGTATTTAGATACCCTTTAAATGTGATTCATCTATCCAAATTAACAGCCACAAGCCTTGTTATACAGTCTTGCAAAGGTAGATATTAGCCTTGAAGTGAGTTAAATTATGATGGGATGAAGCCAGAATAGGAATGGGATAAAGCCCGATGGAGCTGTGGACTCCAGAGGATATCATGATAATTTGTGTCATGATTACAAGCAGGGCAGTGCTAATTGTCACAAACACCCCCTTAGGAGCTGAAAGGCATCCAAAGTGATCTTCTGAAATGCTTTGGTCCAAAGTGTCTGCCCTGTGCAGGCTAAAGGATGCTACATGTCTGTGCAGTTTCTTCATATCTTCAGAGTAATTCAGAATAATCACATGGTATCATTGGATTCAGGTCTCTGGTTATACTCCTGAAATAACTAGGACATACGTATTAATTACCATGAAGAAGGTTAACAGCCCATTTTGTATAGGTAAATACAAATTTCTTTATCTTTAAAAACTCATGTATTATTCCTAAAAATCTTACATAGGCTTTTTGTCTATATAAAATAGTGATGGCCTACACTTCCAAAGAGTTGCCTTGTCAGTGTGATGGAGCTGGGTGGGAAAATCCCAGTATTGTTTTTTCCAATTTTAAGTATTCAGATGTCTTAAAAAAAATAGAAATCAGATAAATAAATGGTCAACAAATGTAATGTATCAGCCAAAGACTGAAAATGTTTCACTGGAAACAGGGAACTCTATTCTGGAAATGTCACAATAGTGCCTCATGAAACTTGTAATTTGGGTGTCAGATGTACCTTCTCTTTTCTGTGGGTCTGGATGCTTGCCTGCACTACATCTTCATCTGCCATAGGCCTTCCCTATCACAATGGTGCTGCGGAGCATGATGGGGAGGTTGTGGAGCCCAGCCAGTGGAGGAGAATGGACTTTTGTGCCGTGATCCCTTTCACAAGTTCTCCAGTTACCAGAGACTTTTTTTGCCTTCCCCAGTCACCTGTTTCTTCTCATTTATACTCACCAAAACTCTGAACATGATTCTCATCGTTTTCAAAGCATCACTGACTGTAATTATAGAGGACCACAGCAGCTCAGGCTCTCCCACTTGCCTTTGCTATAAGATTAGAATCATTTAGGTTGGAAAAGACCAAGTCCACAAGCATTAGCAGCTGTCCATAAGAGAAAAAGGGGGTTCATGTCCATAAGAGAAAAAGGGGGTTCAGGCAGTGTTGAAGATCTAATATTTCAAAAGCACAATTCATATACAGAGGTGAAAATGATGGGAAATGGCTATTGTGACTTTTAGCTAGCCTCTGAAGGCTCAATTTCTTACAACTACTTTTATACATGCTTAGCTATGAGTATTTGACTAGTTGCTAGAGGTAAAGAACCCAACTAGTATGCTCTAAGTCAAATGGAATTGCTGGTGTTTGACCAATGCAATCTAAATTCTCGACTTCTGCTTTGTCCTCTTTAGCTAGATTGTCATTTGTGGTTCTATATGTATTTCTGAAGAATATTGCTACAGCTTAAGTCTGTTTTACCAAGTCTATTAAAATGTAATACTCACCAGGGACGAATATGTTATTAATATTAGCGTTAACATTTATAGTAATAGCTTGCTTGGAAAATACAGTGAAATGTATACATTGAAACAAAATTAGTTACATTTTTTCACACTGTTGACCTGACAGTGAAGTAGAAACATGCCCATCTAAAGTCATGATGATAGAGATAATTGTCTGCAAAGAAAAACTTGACTTACGTCACTGTTTTCAGAGAGTGCCTCTCCCTGAAAATAAAGGGACTCTGAAACATCCTTCTGCAAGATCTACCACAGGCAGGACTCCACCATAAAAATAAACAGAAGGAAATGAAGCTGTCAGGCTTAGGGGTTTTTGAGTTACATTAGGAAGTGTAAAATAGCCACAAAACTTAAAATGAGAAATAAACAACCATGGTTCAGAGATCCAAATTCCTTTCTATTCATTTTTGCTTCCTTGTGAAACCTTTCATTTCCACTGCCGTGTCATTTAAAGAATTCTGCAAGGAGACCCAAACTGAGCATACAAAGCAGTACTCAGGTGGAGGGGTCTTAGTCAAAGGCTTATGATCATTAATTTCTTTGGGGTTTTTTTTGACAGTGAACGGTGGCTACAACCATTGTAACTTGATCTCTGAGAAGAAGAACATGATGGACATGGAGATGACAAGTAGCTCGGTACCTGTCTGCAGACAAGGTCTGTTCATCCACACAGGAAACTCCCTGATGCGAGACCACGCGCTGTCCTGTGAGAGACTGCTTCATGTTGGCCAGCTGAACTTGACACACTCTGATATAAGGTACCACCGCCAGTTTTATTGGTTGATATACTTTGCTCTTCTGGAGCGCTTCTTTGTCGGGACTGTTTCTCAGTGCCACCCATGGGTGCTACCTCTGGAAGGGTATTTTTGGCTTTTGCTTCATTTTGGAAGTGCTTTGGGTGCTGCTTTAATGACACTGCTCCTCTGCAGGTTTGCAATGGAGGAACATGTGCGTGTGCACAGAAAGTGTCCAAGGCAGTGCCAGGAGGAATCACCGTATGTGCAGCTGCAGCCCCTGAACTGAAGATTAAATACAGCTGCTCTGTGGGGGCTCTTCCAACATGCTCAAAAGTCAACGAGAGTTTTGTTAGGGGCTTAAGTGGGGTCAGACTTGCCTCCTCTGTACCTCCACCCCAATACCATGTTGTTTCTAAATTGCAGCCTGGAAGGCAGGGATGATACTTACTCCCAAACCAATGTCTCCCATATGGCAATTTGGCATGTCACCATCAAACCTACATGAAGCCAATGCCACTTTTATTTGTACAGCATTTCCTTTAATGAAGTATTTTCAATGTTCCCATACAGCCACATCCTTGGTATTTGCTTTTAAGGCCGTAATGTGAAAATTTGGTCTCTGGTTTTGATATATACACTGTAGTTGGATATGCTATGAACAGAATCTCTATTTAAACATTTGCTATAAATTAATTATATGAAAACACAGAACTCCGTTATTTTTTTGTTGTTGTTACAAATTTAACATTACCAGATTTTAAACAAGTACCCTAAGCAGACATCCATTGTGAATAGAAGCCTGCTACGAATTAAAATCTGTCCATCTATTTTAATTACACTGCTTTTTGGCAGGCAATATAATGCAGAATAATCTTGACCTTTTTGAAGAGCTGTAGAAAAGAAAAACCTCAGGAAAGTTGTAGCCTTTATCTTAGATACTTGGAATAATTGGCACTGTGCATGGAACTATCAAACCCAAATTTCCATAGTCATAGCAAGAGGAAGTATGGCCTACAGCTTAGTCTTGGAAATCTGACTGTTTCACATTTTATGATACATATTTATGTCTTGTTTCCCCTTTTCCATTTACTGGTGGGGCAAGAACATCTGTGTTTTCGGGAGGAGGAGGCATGGCAATATGGCAAGCAAGTGGAAAGAGCTTTTTGTTTGTTTGTTTGTTTGAAAAGGACAAATAATATTCATGCCACATAACAACATGCTCTGCTATTGCTACAAGGATGTGTAGATGTAGCTGGATATAAGTTTGCTCTCTCTTAGCTTCTTTCTGGCTCAGTGTGCGGCTGGCAGTTACCAACCTCTTTTTATTCTATCAATTTATGAAACAAAGATAATTAGGGCAGGAGCAAACAAAAGGATGAAGAGAATACTCTGCTTAGATCTTTATGAACCTTTTTGTAAAATCTATAATGAAGAAATGACAGATACCTGCATACCAGGCATCACAGTACCCACCTCAGAAATATGAACCCCTTCCAGCCCCCATTTGGAAGAGGATTCCCAGAACAACATAAAGGATTGTCTGCTGCATAACATGAGAAACTAGCAGGTGATAGGCCTGATTCCCTTCCCTTTGCTTTGTAGCATGGTCTAAAGGCTTGAGGCTCTGTTGTTTCTAAGCAACAGTTTGGAAATATTTGGAGATGATCTTGGAGGACCCTTCCATTCCGTTATGGGTTGTTTGTGTGTCCCACTAGTCATGCTCTGCTTATCTGTCCACCTCCCTAATACTGCTTTTGTCTGCATGGGGTTTGCAAGGTAAAGCCAATGCCCATGGACCTCATAGACACAGTGTCTGATTTCATCATCATGCTACTCATGAAACACAGAGCCAAACCTTGTCACTTGTGAGAGAGGTTGGACAGCATTAGGGATGATTTCTGTTCATGATGTTTGTGATGCTAAAGATTCTTGACAAGCAAGTAACAGAAAACATGATCTTTCCCTGAAGATCTGAAAACAGGAGAACATAACTGAGGTGGGGTGAATGCCCATCAAGTTCCAGTGAAGTCAGTGGGAGCCAAGGATGCTCTGTACCTCCCCAGAGTTCAGCTTTATTAGAAAACGGAGGAGAGAAATAGGGCTGGAATGGACAGGTATCGGAGCACACGGAAGTCAGGGCAAACTCTGGTGGTTCTGTCCAGTTCTAGTAACCAGCACAGAAATAAAGGAAGATGCAAACTCAAATGACCTCTCTGGGTTGAGCTTTGAACCACTCTGCATTTCTAGGATATGGAACATCCAAGGAAAACCCAACAAACCAGAGAGCACCTCCCCTAGCAATCAAAAATCTCCCTTAGGATTTGGGGTTATGATTGGCTTTGTCCTTCCTTCCCTCAGTGCACTGAAATTTGTTATCCCTTTCAGCTTCTCCCTGAACCACATTCTCTCAGTAACTGTATTCTAGGGATGACTGCCTTAATCCAAGGATCACAATCCGCCTTCTTCCCAGCCCCTTTTTCCCACTCAGTTAATGGCTTTTAAGTTGTGCAACATAATTGCTGCGACATGCTATCTGTGTGTGGGACTGGAAAAGTCCTCATACCTTCCTCACCACAACTGGAGTCAGCACACAGCTAATGTTGGCCTGTTGTCAAATAATCCATTATCAGTCACGGCAAACCCGCCGCGCTGCGCTCCGCGCTCGGCATAGAAAACCGGGAAGACATCAGAGCAGCCAGATAGTGTTGCAGAGGGTCCCTGGATGCGCAGCAGAACAATCCCCTCCAGCTTCTTAAACCCGTCAGTTATCACTGATTGCACATTTACAGTGGCAGTTGAAGGCATGTATGTTTTGTAAATACTGTGGAGATTTCAGATACAGTCGTCTTTTCCTCTGAGGGCAGTTGGGAACTGCAGTACTTCTGGCATGGTGCTGCTGGCCTCGTGCTCTGGCTCCAATTACCACATAAGGGAGTCTCTTTGGAAACGCTGCCGCCTTAGTATCCTCCGAGAGGCTGCTGTTGCTCTTCAGAGGCCTCACACTCAGCTTTCATGTGCTTGAGGAGCAGGTCTGTTGCCTCAGACTGTCCATCCCTGGTACATGGATGCTCCCTGTGAAGAGGGGTGTGTGGGGTATGTTCTCCTGCCGACTCCGCTCCCTTCCAGGGCTGCTCGTTTGGAAGCTTCCCAGAGCTGCTCATGCTGCGTGTCCACACAGTGCTCTTTACACTCTCCTGCTATCATTCGTCCCTCTTGCTCCCCTCTTGGCTGTTTGTTTCATATGCATTTATATTTGGCTACTGTCCAGAGATTGTGAAATCCTTACAGCCACCACCGCCTGTGTGTACCAGGCCCGGAATCTGATCCCTGGCTCCAACAGTGAGATGCCATTACAGGAGCAAATAGCCAGTGGATATGAGGAGTCACCCAGTAAGTTGGATGCCAGACGTTTTGTTTCTCTCTCACATCAGTTTTGGGTTTGTGCCCCTTCCCCCCTGCCCTGCCCAGGACTCGGAGGATCAAGCAAGGGCTTTCCCTAGAACAGGGAGGGCAACATTCTGCCAGGAATACAGGGAGTTTGTATTAATTGTATTACCTTGATGTTAAGTACCCCAATATTCAAGCATAGGGACACTGAAAGAATACCAGACTCTCTCAGCAGTGTTAACTAACACAGGGTATGTAATACATCTATATGTACAGTACTACAGAGAAAACTGCAGCTCCCAGGAGGGACTTGCTTGTGATCTGCACAAGCAGCCTGTTCTTATCAGTACGTAGGCAGAGCACAGATAAGACATGGCTGTGGCAGTGGGAAGCATGAATTTGGCAACTTCCTCTCATTTGCTTTTGATTAGGTATTCCAGCTTGTCTTTTCGTTCAAAACTCCCCTCTTTCATGTGTCTCACATTCTGCACTGCAACATCAGAGCAATATAGTCCTGAATCTGAGTAAGATCTTAGGCTGAAAATACAGGTCAATGTTCCTGGGACTTTGGGGAACCTGATATTTCTCAGGACAAGGATGTTTGTATCCATCCTTCAGGTTCTCTGCACAGACTTCAGCTTGAACTCCTCACATGGATTTCTGGCAAGATAGGAGCTTTACACAGAGCTTAATAATATGACACCAATTATCACAGGCTGAAATGTAAGGCGTGGGTTAGCTTTATATGATGGAAGAAATGTGTTGTGTTTACTTTAGCCTGAGGCTTTGGGACCACTAAACTATAATACAAACTGAATTATGTAGCAGAGTTCTCATACAGAAGGAACTAAGTAATACGAAATACTCTGCCTGGTGTGATGCATTTTAAAACCTTGCTCAGAATGACTTTAAAGCAGCACCCTTTCTACTGGGGGTTGGAACTAGATGATCGTGAGGTCCTTTCCAACCTTAACTATTCTGTGATTCTACTGAGCAATGTAGCTCCAAGCTAGCAGGGCATGGTTTCCCAAACACTTGCAAGAAAAGGTTTTTACGTATGGTTATGCCCCATATTTCACAGACATGTGGCTCTGTACATGTTAAAAATAATGTATGAATATTGTTGGATTTGGGGTTTGGTTTTTTTAATTTACCATCTTCAAAACCAGTTTGCCCTGAGACCAAACCTAAAGGGAGGAATTATAACTAATGGTTTATGGAAACCTCTTTTTAAGTTTCGGGTGGCAAATGGAAGATCTGATTGTTGTATAGCAATGAATGGTGGGGAATTTCACTTCTCTCGTAACCTTAAAGAGGTTTTTTATATCAAGCCCTACTGGCTGCAAACTGTAGGAGCTTAGAACCTATCTTTAGTGGATGCAGTGTTGCCAGTTGTGTGCCTCACAGATGCCATTTTTTGACAACCTTACTTTCCTGGGAAGGAGGTCTTTTTAAACCTTGCTGTTGTTGCTCTGTTCTTTCTAACTGGTAGTTCTTTGAGAGCTACCACCATGGAAGTGTTAGAAGTTGTCCCAGCTTTCCGTCTTTATGTTAGCAGTGGATTAATGGAAATAATAGTGATAAAGTCATCAAAGTTGTAAAATAAATGCAGTTTCTTCAGCAGCTTCACAGTTTAATGTATGTATATATCCAAAATACCTTATGCATCTGTGTTTTATGCTTTAAAATGTGTCAGATTTCTCTCAGCTGCGGTGTCACACGCAATTTGCCCAATGGCCAGGTTTTCTTCAGCTTTCATGGTGCTAGCAGCAAGCATAAAATTCATTTAAGTGGAACATGTCAGTGTAAGAGCCGTGGAGCACCTCTGTGGAGGGTTTATTAGTTCAGGTACAGCTTTCCTGCACACAGATAGACTGTTTCCTCTTCTCGGTCTGGCACATCGCTGCATCATGAAGCCATAGGTTAAACCTTCCCATGCTTTAGGGATATGTAAGGAACACCCGTTGGTCCTAAGAAAAAACACACAGTTGGGCCACCCCCAGTAAATGTTTATAGCTGAGATAAAATATTTTATTTTAAGGCATAAGCCAATTGCTAACTGCTTGGAAGAAAAATGTTAGGAGGAAACGTTTCCTAAATGCAGTGTTCTTCTGCAGTGTCTATGTGGTGTTCCCCAAGGTTCTCCTTCCTGAGTGACTGGATTCAGCACACATCCAGAAAGATTAAAAACCACTTCTGCAGAACTATTTTCTCTTGGTTTGCAGACACGTATAGACTTTAATATGAAAAATGGAACTGGGAATACACAGGCTACCAGTGTAAATCTACAGGTTGAGAACTTTTATTAGTTATGGATTGTAGACCTGTTAGGATGTAAATACTTGATCTCTCAGTTACCCTGGACCACCGGTTGAAAGCGAGCTTTCTTTCTTTGTATTCCTTTTTCCACACTGATCTTGCTCCTGTTTTAATTTAGTGAAGGAAAGCATCTCTCTGAGATGTAAGCAAAGCTCAGCTAGCTTTTCTTGATTCGTGTGAACAAGAATGCCAAGGCATTTTCTCAGTGTGCTCTGAGGAAAATGCTGATATTTGAATAATTCAGAAACGCCCAAAGCTCTCAAACTTCGTTCTCAGCTATTGTTTTGCCCAATCTATTATGCATTGAAAACCTAGATTGTGATTGTTGAAGTGCCTGTAGCAGTGGAGGGGAGATTGTCTGTTCTGTGCGTAACCCAGTGTGTAAAATTAATCCTGTGTAAAACGATGCTGTCTTTACAAGGGTTGTAGAGGAAACATTGCAGATGTTTTTGGTGTAATTGCTGCATTAGACTGGCAACATTCAACAGAGAGCAAGTGCTTCTGTTCTGTAGGGCTTAACAAGTGTTGTGTCTCATAGAAAAATCATAACGCCTGTGGCAGTTAGTGATACTTAATGAAAACTGTATTACAGGTCACCCAGGTTTCAAGACTCCGTTGATTCTGCTGCTCCATGCCTGAATGGAAGTCACCCGGCTCAGCACATTAAACAAGAATGCCCGAGTGATTATAAGGTTCTGTCTGAGGCTTCCACACATAGGAGGATTACGGAGGGGATGGAGCTAAGAGCCTCTGGTAGTCTGCATCCTGAAATAGACCTAATGAATAATAGCTTTACAAATTCACTTTCATCCTACTTGTTTAATAATGAACATAGCTCCTCCCTGGGTCCTTTGTCACTTGGCACCCCTCAGCACTCGGCCAGGCTACAAACAAGCAACCTGAAGAAGAGATGCATCTCTGTTGTGCCGTCTTCAGCTGAAGGAATTGATATTACAGCGATCATCCGCACATCACAGACGTCACTGGTCACCTGTGTGAATGGACTGCGAACTAATTCAGCTGGCATTTCCTCTCATCCTGTGGAGATCAGTCATCACAGTGCTCAGAAATCCTCGCGGCCCCAGCCTTGCTCTCAGCCTGGAAACCCTTGCAGTATTCCCTCCCCTCCAGCATGTCTTGTACCTATTTCTGCTGAATGTGACAGAGGTGACTGTGAGCAGATACAAATGCAGCAAGTCGAGGAGAATGGAAGCCTCAGCCTTCTGATGAACGGTACTAGCATCCCTCATCAAAACACCTCGCACGGCACCCAGAAGGTGAGTTTCTTAAAGCAAGAACCAGCTGATGATTATTCCTCCACTGCTGATCTTTTTCGACATCACCAGGGGCTGCCTCCCCCTTACCATCTACACCAGCAGCTAAGCCAGGCGCAAGGGACGCTGCCTCACTTACACGCCTCTATGTCTCCAAAGTCCCTCCAGCCCAGCGATGGGGACGAACAGGACCTCAGCAATGGCAAACAGGTCTGTCAGTGGATTGACTGCAGTGCCACTTACGACCAACAAGACGAACTGGTCAGACACATAGAAAAGACTCACATTGACCAGCGGAAAGGAGAGGACTTCACTTGCTTTTGGGCAGGCTGTGTCCGCCGATATAAACCCTTCAATGCTCGATACAAACTGCTGATTCATATGAGGGTTCATTCTGGAGAAAAACCAAACAAGTGCATGGTAAGTCTGGAATATATTTGTTTGAATAGAAACATACTGCTCTGCTCTCTTTCTTGGTCCTTCTTCAATCTTATTCCAATAGAATCGTTGTGTTTTCCTGTAACTTAGTCTGCAGCAGGCTAAAGGGGAACTGGAGAAAACCTTAATCTAGAAGGAAATTTTTGAGTAAGAAATACTGTAGTTCTTGGAATGAGGATTCAGTTTCCTTATATGAGAGCTTAACTTTTAATACAGTGCTTTATTTTTTTAAATATTCATTAAAGCATTAATAAAGTGATGATCAAAGCACACAGCAGTCATTTAATGTAAAACAAAGTCACTGAGCCTCGGGTGACATTTTTAATCAAGAAACATAAAACACATCTAATGAAATTCTTTTCATTCCTTCAGCTGAACAATAACCCATAGAGTTGTGAGTGCAGGAGTTTCAAATGGTAGTTTAGAAAAGAAAAAGAAACTTGTGAAAGGATTTTAAACAGTTAAAGAATAAAAGAATATCTTTAATTACATTTTCAAAGGTTTTTAGGGGCTTTTTTCATTTGCAAACCAGAGCTTTAAAAATAAGTAAAAACCATTGTTCTCTTCTGATCAAGAAGATGTAAACAACATCAGTGTTCCAAACCCAGGATCTTGGGAATAACACCATCTCTGCATCTGCCCACCATGATGACAATATGGCCAAACTAAAATAAAAGTTAATGACTTCCATTAAGCTTTCCACATGTTTGAAACAACAATGATATAAGACCCTGACTGAAACCGATGAAGCAAAACAAGTTTGACATAAGCTTCCAAATTGGGCCATGAAATTTGGCAAGTCTTGTTTGTAACACCCACACGTGTGCATGTGCATACACACACACACACACAAGTACAGACAAAGGGAATGGTTACAGCAGCAGGTTGTGGTTCTCGATAGATGGATTTTTTGCCTATATATCTATTTTACTGTTTTGATCAGAGAATGATATAATGGAAAATGCTTGTAAGGAAGTTAGATCAAGGCAAATTTTTCCACGACAAGCTGGAGCTTTCTATGGAGGAATAGGAAAGAATGTCTCTATAAAAATCTTGGGTTTTCTCATTTGTTCAAGAAAAAGCTTGCTGGCCTGCAATGGTTGTGGAAGGGAGAAGGAAGAAGACAACAGTATTCAACATGTGTTACAGAGAACAATTTTCTCTGGAAGCAGTCATCCTGATTATCTTTTTACTTCCATTGGGTAAATGAAACATATTATCTTAATGTCTGCACTGTTCAGTGGGTATTCCCTAAAATAAGACTGGAAACAAGGCAGATATTCAGAGAACACCATCAAGTTGTCCAAGATAAAATGGAAACACTCTAAGACATACCTGTTTCTTTTTCCTTTGAGAGAAAGAAACTGACTTGCTTGTTTCCAGAAGTATCTCAATCACGATTTGTAAAAGTACAAAGGAATTTAACTTCCTATTTATATCTTTTATTTGATCAGGAATCATCAAAGGATAATGCAAGTTAGTTGCTACTTTCCAAACAAAAGTATAAGTAAGCAAGCTGTGAAAGCATACTTACAAATTAGCCTATTGGTTTTAGTTTTTTTATCATCTGGAATGAGATCAGGCTTCTTCCCACTTTCATCTCATACTTTTTAAAAGAAATACTTAAAACATGAAACCCTGATTAGCTTTACTATGATGCTGAAAGATTCAGTAGACTCCATGGATGAAGGAACTTTTGTCTTTTTCTGAAAAATGGATATTTGACGGGTATTGTATAGCAGGTTTCTAATGTTACATTCCCATTCCTACAGGAAACTGGATAAACCAGTGATGTTAAATCATGTAATGTCTTAGCAAATGCTAAAAATCTCCTACTTTCAGTTATTGTCATCTGCACTAAAGAACTGGCTTTTGATAACATCTCAAGGTTTAACATTGTGAATAGGTTGGAAAAACCTTTGCATCTGATATTGCAGACAGCCTTCATGGCATGTCTTACAGCCTTGGCATGTAAGTACAGAAAGATCTGTTTTATTTGAGCAGATATTGCAGTTGTTCCCATACATGGAATGCCTCAATCAGAACTAGGAGCTTTACATTGCACAACATGCAGTTAACTCCTCTCTTCCCAGAATAAGAGCCTTCCACTGGCACTAGAGGTATCCATGTCTTAAATGTTACAACCTGGAATCCTGTGTGGAGTAAAGCTGGATCTAAGCGAGCACGTGAAAAATAAGTTGCCTTTGCAGGTTTAGTTTTCTACCCTGGAAAGACCTTGATCTAACAGGGGCAAGATCCAAAGCTGCAACACGGCTCCTTAAAGTTATTAATATCAAGTGGGGATTATTTGCCCAGCGAATTCCATTCCACTTTAAACCAGGGTTGCTGTGCAGTGTTTCATTGTGCAGTGATGTCATGTCATTTTAAATGATGGCTTTTCTTTTGATGTGGTAATAATTGTGCTGTTATTCCCACAAATTAAGAAGGCAATTCACTCTCTGTCTATAGAGGTCTGAGATTTTGTTTCAGTTTTGCTGTAGCTCCGTTAAAGTAACTTTACATCTCTTGGTGTTTGTAGTGGAGATTTTCTTTCGCTGTTCACAATTACCCATTGTACTTTCTTTTTAAGCCCTCAGTTTTGTTCCTCTCTGTAAGATTACTGGCTGACTAGGTATTGAACTGCTCAGAAGCTAACAGTGAGCAGTACCCCACCCTCGTACATACAAGTACTTCTCCATGTAAAATTATTAATTTCTTATGACAGGCTTTGCTACTATGTACTGTAATAGACAAAGGAATTTTGGAATTCAAGCTACTTGAGAACAGGAAATACGAGAGACATTTTGATTGAAAAGTAAATGGTTCACTAAAACTGCAGTTAATCCTTTTATTATCTTTCCAACAGCAGTTTCCACAATACTTTCATGAGGTAAGCTTCCTCCAGTCCAACTGTAACACTCTCATCGTTACAGCTGGTTTAAATTTAGCTAGCCTGCTTCTTTCTGTACTACAGGCACTCGACAAGCAAAACAGTATCTGGTGGAGAGAACTACTGATGTTTCGGGTCCATATTCTGCTCACTGTGTTTTGTTGCCAAAACCGGTGCTATGAGTATTCTGGTTTCATCCTCTGTTAAATATTCTAATTGAGCAGTGCCTTCTCGTCATTGTGTCCCTCCGTTTGCTTTTTCCTTGGGCTCTGCAAGTAGTCTAAAGGAAACTGCCTAATCTCTTTGCAATATCCTGTTATGTTTCATACTTAACTCATGTTATTTTAGTTTTATTAAATTTGGGGTTCATCTGCATTATAATCAAAAATATATCCAACAAAAATAATGATGCAATGCCTGTAAGACTTTAACTTCTGAAGATTAATTTCATGCTTTTTTAGATTTGATGTCCCAGACAATTGGAATTTTGATTGTCTGAGACAGCAAAAATTAGCAAGCTTAAATGGTTTTTAATGTATAAAAAAAGAAAGAAGTTTCTCATAGCTGCATCTTTTACTGTCTTTCAGTTCTTCCAATATTTTGGTGGGTAGAAACCTGCTGATCTCCAGATATTGCATCCTCAGTTTAAGCCTCTGCTTGCAAATGTAAATATAGAGCTGCTCCTTTAGTTGTCTCGAATTGTTTGATTTGGACAAAACCGTACTTGGCTTATTAGTTTACCCTCTTGCACTCTTGTGGCTTCATAAAGAGTAGATAATTAAGTTCCCATCACTGCATGTGTATGTGCTCGGGGAACTTACGTTGCAGGCCTCCACAGACATGATCAAGCTAAATATCGTATGTAATTTCTACAATATGCAATTAGGGTTTATAGAAATTGGGTATCATAATGCATGTGATACCCATGAAAGGAGCTGGACAGTGCTAATAGCTGTTGTTAATGTCTCTAGTTCATGTATTTCAGAGAAACAAATGCCTCCTGAGTACGTTATAGACCTCTTTGTCACATCATGTGCCTGCCTAGATAGTTGAGACTTTGAAGCAGAATCTTTTTTTCTTGCATGCATCCAACACGTTCAGTTTGGGAATGGTCTTGATACAGTGGTTTGAGTGCACACAGTGAAATTTAGCACCTCTGCTGTTTGTAGTCAGTTCTTTTGAATCCCTAAGGATGAGACACTGTAGGTCTTGTATTAAACATGGAGAAATTGAGATGTAGAGAAGTCATTTGCCTAAAGGCATCTTTATGCAATTCTAGTATTCCAGTGCAGATCTTGTGCTCAAATCACTACATCACACAAACTAACCATTTGCAATTTACCTATGAAACGGATTTTTGTACAGATTATGCAAAAGATAGAGGCCTGGCTGAGTTTCCTGTTATTTTTACTGTATACCTGTGATGCAGGTGATTTGACATGTCATAAACATTCATCAGAAGGCTCAGCTACATTTGCAACACTTACTACAATTACAGGAGAAAGGGGCCTATAGAGCAGATTAGTAGTATTGCTTCTGCTACTAAGGAAACCAATGTGGAATCTCTGTTCTCAGTTGATAGCAAGTATTATGCTGTCTGCGGTCAGTGGGGAGCATGAGTCTAGCAATGCATGGTGAGTAATGAAATCTCTACAGGCTACATCTACAGATGAGTCTAAGGGACAATCCTGCATCTGCAGGGTAAATAGGTCTGCATGCACCAGCTTATATGCTTTTGAGTTACTTCACCTAAACAATAAGTTTCCATGCCTGACTTGAGGGAATGTTGTGGAAGCCTGGGAAGTATTTCAGCTTTTGGAGTGAAGGGTGTCATGCACTGATGCCAAAGGAGTGCTTTAAAACCCAACAATAATATTAGGCTCACTTTCTTTCCTTTGAAGTCAATAGAAGGAAACATCCATTCTATCAAAGCTGCCTCACCAGAGATCTCTCTTTTTATTAGGTCTCTGATGGCATTTCCCGATACTGTCAAGGAACTGCAGCCTTAAAACCACCCTGAGTACAGAAGAAGACAGCAGTTCAGTGGCTTTGTGAAAATACAGTGTTTGCTTGTTTGCAAAACCCAGTACAG